ATCGATGCAGCTCGGTTTTGACGCGTGGACTCGATGTGGCGTGTCGAGTGGAAATAGGCGTTCGGACACACTACTTGTTCCTTGATTGAAACTGTTCTCACTTCGCCATTTCTGATTTATCGGATGCGAGATGATGGATAAGATGATGCTTCGTAAAGTCGTTGTGCGCAGGGTTTTAGTGGTATGGGGGATGTGCTCGGTTGGTAAGAAGTTTCGAAATGAGAAAATGTAACGTTCGAGGATGTTATATTTGTCTCGAAACAAGTCGAAAAGTTTAAATCGTTTCGAGTAACGTTTCTGGCAAATTGTATTTTTTCTTATGCCAAAATGTAGACCGATATGCTAAACATGTTATTCATTTCTATTATTGCCAAGTTATATTGGGGTTATTTTTATTCGTATTAAGAATTACGTTTCTCATTTGTTTCGATATATTTAACATGCGAAAAAATTGCAAGTCAACTTGTTGTACTTACAATAAAGTATTAAGGGGGGAAAAAAAACATTCAAAATTTTTTCAGTGGGATCTTTAAAGTAATATTAAGTACGCAACAAAAAGACTTATTTTTTATTTAAAATAACAAATTTTAATTCAAATGACACATTTATACCGTTCATTCTCCAAAAGGTCGACTTTTATGGTTCTCGAGGGTTGGTCGTTCGAAGATTCGAGTCGCCGATGAAATTGTTAAGAAAACACAATCATTCCTTTTTCGGTCAAGGAGAGTGTGCCATTAGATGGCCCGGAAAGGAGCCATCGCAACACCGACGTGTTAATTAATTAACTTTTTAGAGGTTTGAACTTTTGTTTCGCGTATCATTGTATCGTTCACAGAAAAGATGTGGGATCGTAAAAAAATTTGTATGGCTATATTTAGTTTATGACTCATGTTGATTGGCATTTTTACGAAATTTTCGTTTCTCGAAACGAAACGATCGTAAAACTCGTTTTTTTTCATTTGCCAAAAATAAGTATTGGGAAATTTTGATGGTAAAAATGAAATATTCCGACAAGCGAAAGTTTACATCTGATGTAATTATGAACGAATGACATTCAAAAACCATTTAAAATATTGATAGAGTAATAAATAATACATCCATATTTCTTTCGCTCTAAGCGAATAGAAAGGATGCTTATTATTATTATTATTTTTTTTTTTTAATCAAAAACTTTCTTAAAACGAAGACATTTTGATTACTTTAATCGAGCAATAACAAATAGTAGCTTCGAAAATCATTTCACAAAACCATTTCCAAAATATTCCAAGAATTCTTATCTTGATATCTATTAATAATAAATTATAAAATAATAAATAAATTTATAAATAATAAATAATAAATTTCAAATTTACATTTTTAAAATTATTTCAAAAAAGATACTTGGCATTGTCGAAATATCGTAAAGTATTTTTATTTAAAATTTATCCGTAAATTTCTTCGGTGAGATAGAAATCGTTCGAAGATTCATCCAGTCTTCTCGCCATGGAACTTAATAATTCGCTTCTGAAGTGTCGTTAAAGCCGGTTGGCCACACTTTTGCGTAATCCTCACGGATCCGGTAAGACGATCCTCGTGTTGGAAAGCTTAGATCCGCGGCAGAGTTGAGTTACCAGCCGCATCCATTGGCGTCTCCCCTCGTAACTGCCGTTTTCCCCCGGGTTTCCCTCTGTCTACGGTTACCTGCGGCTCGCTCGCTTTCCTTTCGTTTCTGCTTTTCGTCTTTCACGGTGTGGCGCCCCGATCGATATTACCGCCCGGCCAGGGAACGCATCTTTCCCCCTCTCCGCCTCTGTAATAACGTAACGGATGATTCTCACAATAAATTCGCGAGTCTCACTTTTATTCTCGAACTTGACCCGAGGCAGAAAGAATTAAAAAGAAATTAATCCGTTTAAAAAATTCTCCTTTAATCTCGTATAGATGAATGATCCGTGCGAAGAAAAACTTATTTATTATCTTGGACAAGCTGTGCTCCCTTCGAAGGTGCTCAACTTCAAACGAGCATGAACGCGATTTCTTTTCACGAAGTAAAGAAAAAAAATCGAATCGACGTAAGTTTCTCTCGATAAATCTCGGTCGTTGATAAAAAAAGAAAAAGAAAAAGAAAAACCGTGTTTCGAGTTCGCGCTAATTGCGAGATCTGCGAGAGAAGAGGCGAGGCAGGCAAAGCGTGTCCCTGGCAAAGAAAATGCAAGAGGTGTGCGTGCAACAAGTTGCAATCTCCAATTACAGAATTATTTTAATACTCGGTTTCCGCGGTGGTTGGGTTAATCGACGTCGAGACCTGCGCTTTCACGCTTATCTTCGCCCGACGCTCGAGCTCCCGAGCGGATCCTGCGGGGAGGGGAGAGGGGTCGGCATTATCGCCGCAACGCGCTCTATTTACACGCGTGTCCTTTACAATTTTCGTCCTCTCCTTTCGACCGTCTCGCTTTCTCTTCTCTTCCTCTTCTTTTTCTCTCACGCTCGTGGATGGCGAGGAATAGAAACCGCGCCAGACTGGTTCACCCGTTTATCGACCGAGAAAGCCGCGATTCTACTCTTGCTCTTCTCTTTCTTTTCTTTTTTGTTGTTGATCTCTCTGTCCAATTCCACGTTTCGATTAAAAAAGTTTTCGCTCGAATGAGATGTATTAATATCGAGGTAATAAATAATTCAAGCTCGTTGAGAATCGATCAATATTATCGCCGAATATCAAATATCCATCACTACTTACTATTTTCGACATTGTTCCATCCGTTCGATCGATGAAACGGGATCCTTCCTCTCGTTCTCCCGTTGCACAACTCGGTAGACTAAGTAAGAGCAAAGCACCTCGGCTTGGCGCAAGGTTAAGGCCAGGTTATTTGGTTCGTTGGCAAACGGAGAACGCGCGGACAGATTGAACTGGTCCAAGAACGTCGCGGCACGATTACCCTCGACACGGCCACGAACCGGGAGCAGGCGAAACGAAGCAGCTCATTAACGCTCGTTCCCGTAACGCAATTAGCGCGACCCGCCTCGCCCACCTTTCGAACGCGTGATCGGCGTGCCTCGTCCCGTTCCTCCTCGTCTCGCGCGACTCTTGGGCGCGGTCGAACGCGTCCTCCACCTGTATTTTTTTTCTTTTCTCTTTTTCTTCTTTTTCTCAAATCATAACGATTGATCGATAAAATTGAATTGAATTCGGGGAGGAGAGGTTCGATCGAATTTATCGTTTTATCGGTGTTGTTTAATATATTCGACGATACGTTTGAAGCTAAATTTAGAGAGATAGAAAGGAGTTTGCATAATTATAAGCGATATAAACGAGTGTTATGACGAGTGTTATCGCGAATAATAAGAATTTTATGGAAATTTTCGCTCGTCAAAAGAATGACGACAGAAAAGAAGTTTTAAAATGTCTTGGAAATGATCGCCTTGGTTACTAATCGGCCTATTATTTACGAGTTAAAGAGAACTAATTGTTAATTCATTTCGCGTGAGAAAGAAGGATAAAAGTTTTTCTATGTAAAAAGCAGAATCTTCGGAAAATAGTGTTTTCTTGCAATACAATTAATGATACATTAAAGACACGAAGTATATATTTTATATATTTGTTCAAAAAAAAAAAGAAAAGCAAATTTAACTTGTTACGTAGCTTCAAGCGTTTGTTAATTAATTGCAAATCGACACTAACAATCTAATTACAATTTTTAGGTTATGAAATTCTAATCAAACCTTTTTTCCACCTCCGTTGCGCGATTTTTCAATTTTAATCAATTGAATTTATGTAACGCTCGATGAAGGATTTCTTTCCAGGAACGATATTAATTAAATTTAATTATCAGTTGACTAGCGATAATCAGGGAAATAAAATCAAAAGAAGAAGAAAAAAAATCTCTACTTCGTCGTAAGAATCGAACTTGTTATAAAAGATAATGATGCACGGGGAGATAATTGCCCCATACTCGAGATAAATCTTTCCAAACGTAACGTCTAAATATGTCGATGACATATACTATAGATTGTGTTGCGTATCGTGACGTAACACGCGTTAATAAGATTCATTTATACGAAAACCCGTAAGAAATGGCCTGTCATGACACAATATTTGCATGGCTGGTGCTCGAACGCAGTTATATTCGACGCTCGCAATGTCTGATGCAATGTCTATTTTTAATGCGTGTTTCGAGCATATTAGTTAGCTAAGCTAGTTGTCCGATTTTACGTGGATCCGACGTGGACGAAATGCCGAAAAAAAAAAAAATTCGATTTCGTGAGTAATTCGATCTTTCGAGTCTAAAATGCGAGGTGTTTCGCTCGTTGAAATTATATAACTTTAAATTATTAAAAATAATAATTTAATTTGATCGAAGATAAGGCTTGGAATTAATTAAAACTGTTTTCACATATCGATCAATGTTTATTTTTCTTTGACGCAGTTAAGTCTCGAAAGATCTATTTGTCAATAAATTTATAATAAAAAAAATGCTGAAAAAAACATCGCGCGATTTATTACTTTTTAAATCGAACAACGAATATTACTTATTATTAAATTATAAATCTTTAAACAATTAAAAAACAATTATCGAGAGACTAAATAGATAAGAAGAGAAAAAATGCTCGAGACGATTCCATTCATCGATCGCTGCTTCCCTCTTTTGAATCAAGTTTCACCGCGATAGCCAATTTATTTCCGAGCGAGGGAGGGTGAATGTCGTGTATATTCCGAGTATATTTTCAGATGGTATCTGAAAAAAGCATTTCACGACACTGAACGAATAAAAACGAAGATGGTGACGGATCACGCGATGCAGGAAAGTTCCGGAAACTTGGAACACCGTGTTGTACGCTAGAAGGACGAACGATAATGCAGGAATTGCAATTAGCGATAATTTGGTAAAGAAAGGGGAATAGAATCTGGAAAGCCTGTCTTCTTATCCTTGTTTCGAGGATAAAATTTAAACGATTTCTCTTTAGATGAATTTTTTTTAACCTTCGAAAAAATATTGTGATAATTGAAGTGAAGTAAATCGAGATGAAGCGAGTGCACGTGTACGTTGCGGAGCAATTTTTATTTTACCGAGTTATTTTTTCTCGAAAAATTTTATCATCCTTTTCGTTACAATTGAAAGTTTAAGACAAGATGAATTTGACAGAAATTTGTAAATTGTGACGTCATTCTCTGAAGTTTTAATATAATTTTGGATTACATTGATGTTACATGGTCTCATCGTTAAAGAGACAATAAATGTTGAATGTGGATGGAAATATATTCCGAAACGCGTATACGCGGATATCGGTTAACGTTGAAGGATCGTTTCGATTGCCAAACAGTGGTGAAACGTTGGCAGACGAGGTGAGCTCATTGCAAATGCGGATGCTTGGTAGAAATACCTTTGAATTATCGTAACAGGTGGTACAATTTCCTTCTCGAACTATCGTGAACATACAAATTCTGGAATCTGTCTTCCAACTTTGTGATTATTGCCTTCAACAGATCATTTCGATAGTAATTTTTATATTTTGTAAAATATATGGAACATTTCTTATGCAATCATTCAAACGTGATAACTTTGTAAAAAATTACAGTGAAATTCTTTAAAGGAAACAATATTAATATCGATTGTAACTCCCACGTGATTAAAGAGATGGCCTAGAAATATCCGTTGGGACGAATGTTTTTTTTATTTGCAACTTTTATTATCGGTGAATCGATCGCTTTATCGTGGCATTGCTAATTTTTTATATCCTTAAGAAACATTAAGTTATGCGAAATTCACGTTATTTATATCTGAACATGATAAAAAAAGAAAAAAAAATCGTTCTTTGCTCGCGATAAAATTAGAAATGTACAGAATAATTTATTTTTATCGACGCGTAATTGATCTTTGTTCTTAGAACTTTATCCTCGACGCTTTAATCTCGAAGATAGCCAATCCTTTTTACCAACAATATTTGTGTATTATACTATTCGATTACTTTTTTTTTTTAAATTAAAAAAGTACCTTGTATATCGTGTATAAAGATGGGACAATTTTTGTCACGAATAGATTCCAACGAAACGAAGAAAAGAAGAAAAAAAAATAACTATTTCACGAATATCGATTTGGATATTTAGAGGTCGAATTCGTGGCGTCCGTTTGTCGCCATTTTCTACCGCTTATTATATTTTTCCCTAGATTCTCTCCTTCTTTTATCCTTGCACGCCATCTTTTATCGCAAGATAGTAACCAACCTATACTAGTTCCGGCCAATGAGCTTCGTAAAATATCCTCGTATTCCGGCTTTATAGCCGTTCCCTCTCATAACCTAGTTTCTCCGTATATCCATATTACTTGACGCGTTCTATATTTTACCCTTATTCTCCTCGTGCTCGCCCTTTCCGCTTCTGGGGATAAGTTATACGAATTTTGTGTACGTGTGCAGAATTCGTTGAATTATTCAACGGGGAATTGGATACGTACGCACGATTTTTTGTGAGATAATGTTCGTGGATTTGATATTTTTTCGTCATATGGTGGAAAATATATTTATTATATTATACACTATAAGTTGTACACTATCGGTTAAAAACTTGAATTTTATTCTTTTTCGTGTTAAAAACTTTCTGGAAATAATATATAATAACATAACAAAACTTTTCATCGAATTGTACAAACAGTAATGCAACTGGAAATACATTCATTTAGATCTAAAGATGAATCACATATAGTTTAGTTAAAAATAAATGTTCTCGGTGAGAAATTAAACCAAACTTGAAGTTTCTTATTTTTTTTATAATAATTTTTTTTAAACAAGAACAAATAATATTGAAAGTCATGATTAAGAAACTACTAAAATTTAATAATCGAAACGAAATATTACAACAATTTTTTGTATCACATATTATCATTAATATCTGTAGATATCTATAAGATATGATCAATTTATATATTTGTTTTTCAAATTTGTACTTTCAAATTAGGTATATTTTTCTTTGTTTTTATAATATTTTAGAAGATTTATCAATTGCTTTAAAAGTATATTTATTCATTTTCTACATTTACAATATTGATTATATATATTTATATATATACTTTTTGTCTTATGCAAATTATTGACAGTATAACATCATCACGCGATAGAAATATGAGCACATTTGCATTTTAACAAGATAAGAAATTTGCCGATGTACATGTATTTCTATAAAATATGTTGCTAGTACGTGCCACCCTTGTACTTTGAATGTTACCGCATCAGCTGACCACAAGCAAAGCATGGTTTTTAACATGCAGCTCGCGTGATCATAGAAATGGGTCTGTCCTGGTTGATTTATTAATACGGGACACTTAATCGAAGCGACGACCTGAATTCTTGCTCTTGTATGTACGAAAGAAAATTGATGCATTCTCCAAATGTATATTAATCAATCTATCTTCTTTTTGTAAATCTACCAAAAACGTTTTACTAGTATTGTATAATATTTTTTTGATCAATATTTTTGACGCCAATGAACTTTTATAGATATATTTCTCTTGTAAAGTTCGAAAAAAAAAAAAAAATCGTCATTCATCCTTCGTATTTCGTCCTCGAACAGAAAATTTTTTTCCATTTTCTTGTTTCAGTATATTTGAAAGTTTTGTTGTATTATTTTTATTATTAAATTTTACTAGAATTATTGTAATGATATTAAGATTAAAATGAGGAATTAGATAAGAATTTACGAATTATCGTTACATACGAATTCATCATCGATTGTAGAAAATTATAATTCTAAAGCGTTTCATTCTTTTTTTGTCCAGGTTCATGCAAAACACGAAGAGAAGACAGAGAGCAAATCGGTGTATAGAGAGTACAACCGCGAATTCCTGCTGCCCAAGGGAACCAATCCCGAAAGCATTAAGTCTTCGTTGAGCAAGGATGGCGTGCTCACTGTCGAAGCTCCGCTTCCGGCGATTGGTACAGGCGAGAAGCTCATCCCAATTGCGCATCAGTAGATGCCCAATCGACCGCACGAAAAAAACGAATTTTTAAAATCCCCTTCGAAATTCCATCATTCGCGTGTCCATTAGATCGCTTCCTTCCTGTCTTTTCCATGTGAATCCATCAAATTCCCGTAAAATCCATTTTTTTTTGTAATTTTTCTTTATGTATTCTTTACGTTTCGTTTTTTTCCTTTTTTTCCCCCATTTTTTTTGTTCTTTCATTCGCTGTGAACACCCGTTTTTCTCCCCTATCGTTCAATTTACTCGAACGATATTTACTCCCTTCCTTTTTAATTCGAACGAACGTTACGAATTTTTATTTTTATTTTCATTTTTGTTTTGTTTTTTTCTTTTTTTTTCTTTCTTTTCTTTTCTTTCTTTTTTTTTTTTTTTTTTTTTACTTTTTGTAATTAAAACGATCGAGATTCTATATCCAGTGTTCAAATTTCGAGATAAAAG